TACTTGGGCTAGCTAAACTATCATGTATCATGTATCATGTATTGCTTGGGAGACTCACCCACCATTGCCAGGTGTGCGACCCGGATCGACGAACGAATTAGTCGAAGCATAGTTCCGGATACCGTGGCTGGCTACCAAAAAAAAATGTCATCAGGTAAATACATACTATATATTATTTTAGTACAGTACATGACTGAGTTGTATCTTATTTGGGATGATAATTATTGATGGCCATGCCTTTATGTATGTGTCCAAGATTTTCCAGTGGTGTGAAGCAAAGTTGATCTATATCTGTATCCTGGTTGGCTGAGGCAAAGTTGATCTATATCTGTATCCTGGTTGGCTGAGGGGTCTTTTTCAATCCACAAATTATTATGAAGGTTTGGTGAGAAATTAGGATTAATTATGAAGCATATTTGCACCATCTCACCCAACCTAGAACCTACGATTTTTCTACTTTTTTTTTTTATTTTTTTTAACTCTCTTTTGAACTTGTTAAGTCGAGTTTTAAGGAGTCTATAAATACTAATCTTAAAAATTAATTGAAGGCTGCTGAGATTATTACACTCACATATTATTCGAACATTCAATTGAGAGGTCAAGTTTTTGTTCTTTCATATTGTTTTGCTGTTCAGTTCTTTGGTTTAAGCTGACAAAGAAGACAAGTTTTTAAAAATTATTCAAAATCATCCTCCATGTTAGGCCAATAAAAAGTTAGGGAAAGGAGTGCCAGGGTCCGAACACCAAAGAACAACTGGAGTTGTTTTATTTTAATTTTTCACACCTTATTCAAAAACTTTGTTTTAGTACTTAGAGATTAGGTAACCGAGGGATTCGAGTGTGTAAACTGTAAATTCACGGGACATGGTCAGAGAAGTAGTTGGTAGGGTCGACTATAGTGTTGGCTAGGCTATAAGGGAGTTATAGTTGTATAAGAGCACCCACAATGCTTTGAGTCTTTTAAAGAAAAATCATGTGCCATATAAGAAATAGACTAAGTCTATACAAAGATGTACTCCAATGCAATAAAAAGTATAATTGGTCTATCTTATTTGACACTAGAAAAAGTAAACCAAACCCACACTTGGGTCTATTTTGGACCCAAGTAGAAACCTGCCTAGTCATCAATTGTTCACAATTTTTTTTTAATATGCAAAACATATTCTTTTGTATGCATTTATTATTATGATATTTTTATTGGTTGTTGGGTATACTAGACCTACTACCTTTTTTTTGCATTGGATAGATTTTTGGATTTTTTAGTTGGATTTGTCCATGTCATTATGGACTTAAGTCTATTTATTTGTCACATATGCAAAAAGAGACCCAAAGCACTGTAGATGCTCTAAGTCCAAACTATACACGAGTGCACAATCGATCTATTAATGAAAGATCTTTAAGGAGTAGTGAGACGCTCCTCGAAGAGTTTTTATCTCTTGTTTGTGCTTCCGCTATTTCACTTATTCTGGTGTTGCAACATAGATTGAAAAACATATAACTATTTTGTGTTCTAACATAGTTGAGCGTACTCTATGCGGTATACCTACATTTCACCATTGAATTCAATTCGTTTATCAATATTAACGAGTACAATTATAGAATATTACAAAGAGATTCTTATTTTCAAGGCGGACTCGACCTTGTGTCGGCTTGTTAACTCAACTAGCTGAACCGGGCTCGAGCCTTAACAAATTTAGTCGAATAGCTCGTTTCGTTTAACAACTCTAATATCAATAAAATTAATTTAACATTTTTTTATATTATTAGAAAGAACTTTATGGTGCTCGTCCCATTTTTACTACTTTTTTTTTTCCAACGGCATAAGCATTCTCATAAATAAAAAAGCCAAAAGGCAATGTACACGGGCGAGCCCAAATTCGGGGAAACTGGGGGGTTACAATATCAACCAATGCAACTTAATCGAGACACACCTAGCAATGCTAGAATAACAACCCGAAATACACAACAAAAAACACCAAAACACACCGACAAAAAAAACAGAAACTGCTCCCAACAGGAGAATATCCGAGTGTGCTCCCAACAGGAGAATAAAGGTACACTCGGGCCAACTGGAGCCAAACGGCTCAAACCTAAAACACATCGACAACAACAAACACTAACAACACAAGAACTGAAAACAAACATTAACAGAGAACTGAAAACAAACATAACAAAACGACTACATACTACACTAGCCCTTCCCCAGCAATCCAAAGCAAATCCAACCATCAGAGAACGATCGACACAAGAACGATATCGAG